ATTAATCTCTCTAAATCAATTTCCAATTAGTTGCTCTGGGAGGTACAATTGTTGCACTGGCCTGAGCATTTCGGATAAGGGTTGAATACAGCTTCAGTTTCCAAGTGTCTTGTTTTCAGTCCTGGGAACTGAGGACCCTTGTTTGTGAGCTGGTAGTTCCAGTACCTCAGTAGAAACACATTTCTAATGCCATAGAAATGCAAACCATGAAGGAAAAAAAGGAAAGGAGATTAGCTTCCTGAAAACATGACCCTCCTTTTTTGCCATTCAGCCAATGACTTGAAATATTTGTTTTGTGCTTAACATCGGAACAAACCCGCGGTCATTTAGGAACTTCATGGTTTCCATTAAACCGCACAGCATGGACATTTGGAATTTCATGGCAACTGTGAAGTGAGAAGGTAGATCTTGCTTTTCCAAAGCACCGGCCTCTGCCGAGAGCTAACACCCACACACATTCACTCACATTCCTTAGCCAATTCATGTCATTAAGGAGACTTTTAAGAACAGACAAAACAAGGAAAAAAACACCAAAAACCCCAACCAACCAAAAACCCCCAACAACCTCATTTAAACCTCTTTCTTAAGCACTTGAAAGCAAAATACTACAAGTGGAAATGTAATGTTTAAATGCAGTGAACTCCACTGTGTCCATCAACAGTGTTTACAGCATTAACTCTGCAACTACAATGAAAAGCTGAAGCATTGGAAACCACCTAATTATCCAAACATTTACCTCTCTGCACTTATAAATACATGGGCCTAATAAGCCTTCCCACTGTGAAAGCAGTTGCTTAAATTATATTAAAATATTAAAAACTATTTAATGAGCTTTTTTTCCCCTAAAGTAAATTGAGTGTGTGCCTTAACCTGCTTCAGGCAAAGGAAGTTTCAAACATATTGGTTTTGAAACTAGCCATTATTTCCCATGTTGCAAAAATGCCAATTTTATTTCCCAACAGCAAATGAAACTGTCAGGAAAATTTAGATGCAATAAAATTGGGTGGTTAAACCAACATGCTGGATTTGGAATAAAACTGAATTAAAGGAGTTAAAATTAAGCATGATGTCAGTCAAACTTTATAAAAACTATTTGAAATGGTGTTGGGGTGGCTTTTGTTGTTTCTTGTTTTTAGTTGGGTTTTTCTAAGTTAGGTTTTGGACTTGGTGAAGTCCACCCGTGACTGCCCATTTCATATCCATCAACAGTGTCACATTTGAAATTTGCGCAATGAAAAATATTTTGCATAAAATGTGTTGCTTCTGGCAACATTTCTGCCTAAATAAAAAGTTGTCAGGCAGTGTGTGACTTTAGTGGTACAGAGTTTTTAAATGGTGGCTTCAGTCCAAGGCTAGCTAATAACGGCTGACATGCACTGGAATCTTGAGGCCTAAATCAACATTGTTTTCACAGCTGTAATTAAGCCACCTAATCAGAAGCACATTTTGACGGGACAGTTTCTGGAAGCCAGACATTACAATTTCTTATGCCTGAAGCGCAGTGGCTCATGAGAGGTCCTCATTTAATTTCAGAGTTGTTTTTTGGTTTTGGGTTTTTTTTTGTTTTGTGTTTTTTTTAAAAAAAAAAAGCTGTAAAATGAAAATACTATAAAAAAAGCAGTGTACGGCTGTTGAAATGAAGCAGGCCTATGTGTTCATGCCTTGACCAACCCTGCATCCCACCCTCCTTCGGCTCTCTGCCGAGTCCCCAGCTCTCAAGTGGCAGCCGCACACAGTAAGATTAAGGGCTTCTGCCAAAGTCAACAGATGAGCTGGTCTGAACTGGCTCTCTGTGTGTTCTGATTGTAAATTGTGCTGGTGATGATTAGAGAACTCTAACACAGGATGTCAACTCTTAAAACTGTCCAGAGAAAATAATTTACTTTTTTTTCAAGTTCAGGAAATTTTTTTAAACTTCTTTTGTGGCTTGGTACATAGTGTTGTGTCTATAACTTTCAGATGATTCAAACATTAATTCACACAAATTAGCTAACTATATTATTAGAAAAATAGACCATTACTTTCGCACAGCAAGATGCTTCATTTGGGGATGTTTACACAGCAGTGTTGCTGCTGAATGCAGTTCTCTGACTAGTACACTCTAGCAGCCCTGTGCTTCTACCACCTGCCAGTGGAAGTTACCCCTAAAACTCAGACTGTCAACTGTTTTTGTTGTGTGACTATCACTTCGGGATGTTGCCATACCTGAAATGGCTAAATGCTCTTTTTATGGAGCGCAGCTACATTAGTAACTTTAACATAAACTTTCAACCCCAGAGGCCATTGTAAAACTATCAATATGAAGGCACCAGTCACTGGGGTCTGATTACATTTAGTTCTGCATTTTAATTACATATGGATTCCATTAACTGAACCATTTGCCTTATAGGCAACATTTTAATCAAATTACTGCAATTTTCAAATATGTTACAATAGTCTGACAAGTTAAAAGTTCACATACCTAGAATATTGAGTATCAAAAACTTTTTGCATAGAAAAGGAAGTATTCTTTACAAAATAGCAAATGTGTTGCTGGTTTACTGTGTTTTTGAACACCTTGTCCTAAGTTACGTAATGTGATTTATAATATTGGTTTCATATTATTACTTTTTTTATTGGTGCTACATAATAAGAAAATAGTTCCAACTACATGATTTATACTGTTTGGTTACAACTATTACTTGTGTAAGCCATACCATACGACAAGGTAACCATTTGCACTATGATACCTGCATTCCTTGGCTATGGAGTAAGGCTCAAAAGTGATGCCTAATTGCTTAAAATTAGGTAAGAAATGCAAACATTTCAGTAAAAAAAAAAGTTTCTGGGAGATATTACTGCTTTGTGGATTCAGCCTAGTAGAGACTTCAAGCTTAGTAAATATTACAAGTACAGGTTTCTATTTTTGCCTATACTGGTATTTCCACTCTTTCATGTCCATTATCATCTCAATAGCTGGGAAATCCTCCCTGTGAGTCTGTCAGATTTTTACTTTATTATCAGCAGTTTCAGAGCATTCATATGTTTCACAGTAAATAAACCACAGACTTGTAATTAACAATTCTGAGCAAAAGTTACAATTATTTGAGGTCCATATCTTACTGCATTCTGTCCTAGACTATTTCCAAGAAAACACTGCGAGACAGAGGGTAACAATTAAAATAACAAATCTGATCATTTTTTGCAAGGGAAATTAAGAAGTAGTATCTCCAAATCTTTCACAAAACCAGTTCTATTCAAAATCTTTCAAAATACCCGTGCAGTTCAACTGTGCAGCAGGCTAGCATGAAGTAGTGGAAAAGCCAAGCAGAGTTTTCATCCAGGACTCATCTGCTTCTTGCAACATCTGGTAAGAATTCCCCCAGCCGCATCAGTCATTCCATGTCCTAACACAGGAGAGATGGCTCAGCCCACGAAAGACAGTCTCTGACTTGAAACACGACACTGATGGAGTAAGTGCCTTTCTTCTATGCAGCAAGTGAAAAGACCAAAAAGATGTGGGTTGGTTTTTTTCTTTCTCCAGTTCTGTCCTCATAATTTCAAATGTAAGGCATTGCATCCCTGTTAGATGCAGGTTTCAGCCTGGAATCACAGACTGAACTGGTGACAAGTAAACAAAGCGTATGGGTGAAAGACATGTAAAACCACTGCCCTGGCCAGCCTAAGTGGGAAGAAACTGCCAGAAGTGTAGTTAAGTTTGAGGCTTAAATACTAATTTTGTCTCTCCCCTTAATGAAAGGGATTCAAGTAGATCATGAGAACTGAGAGCTGACTGCTCTGAATAGAAGTGTACATTTTGCTTAATGTAGTTCTTCAACACTAAAATATGAGAGCATATGTCAATTACTAGCATCTCAACAATAAATATGCATTTTTCACACATAAGATCATTCTACTTGTTTCTCTCACCTTACTGAAACCTACAATTCCTGTATTTTCAGTACTTTGAGTGATATCACTAGACACTTTCAGACAAAGGACAGATACAGCCACAAGTGTGGGGAAAAAAAGAGTAAGGATGATGCAAAGCCACATAAAGCAATGAGCGATTTCATTTTCAAACCCAGTTAGGAGAAGCATCCAAAGACAACATTGTTTCTGTGGTTAGTTAGAGAACTCTGCTCTTCTTACAGACCTTCACTTCACTCCTCTCACCCACCTGAAATTCACCTTCTTCACCTTTCAGTTAAAATTATCCTTTTCGCTCCCCAAATTTCAATTTCTTTAGTGCACACAAAGCTTATATTTCTTCATCATGTTTATAAATTACTGTATTTTCCCCTTCATTTTCTGCTCTACTTTGATTATGAAGTAAAAGCAGAAAAAGGAAGGAATATCACGAGATCAGCTGCACATTCTGGATCAGAGAAACACCTGACGACTTCTAATATTACAGTGGCTTCTCTTTTTTGCCAAAACTGATAATGGAATATTTTAAATTCTTAAAATTTTGACAGCAGAACTGACACCAGGGACAAAAAAACCTACAAAAACACTTTCCAGAGAAATTTTATAATTAATTGAATTCTGTCAGTTCCTCATATGTGTCTGGTCACACTGGAAAACACAGTGTCACTGCATCCACTTCTAGAACACTGTGCTCCGCAGCAACAAACTCTTTGGCAGGACTGACACCACAGATCCACGTGCTTGCCATGTGACTAATACGATCCCACATGTTGCCCCACAACACCCACAAGGTAATTGGTTATGACTATACCACTGCACAGTACAGCACTTAAAAGCTCTCAGTTGAAAGCCTACTTATTACTGCAGCTCTGAATGAAAGCACACATACAGTAATAAACTAATGTATCCGAAGAAATAGTAAAATGGATCAAAGCAGCAGAATCCAGTCCAGTTGAAGTAACTGGCAAGTGTTCATTTAATAGGAAAACTGGAAGCACAGTCCAGTTTATGATGTTTATATTACTAGATGTTGCTGAATAAGAAATAGAGAGGAAAAAAGAAATACAAGAGCATTTTATCTGCTTACCTACAGATCATGTGCACAGCTAGTCACTGCCAGGGAAGTACTTCCACTAAATCCACCTTCTAATCATATTTCCTAAGGAAAATCTTAAGAAGGCACAAAGGCAGAGACATGTAAAGGGAAACAATGCAGTTTCTTAAATTTCATTACGTAAATGGCAGTGCCAGTCCAGTACTGAAATATTTCTCCATCTTATTTCATATTAGAGGCTGAACTGCTGGTTTCTCGGTTCCTCCTCTGGCAACCTACATACTTGAAGTGAAGACTACATATGGCCATATCAATGACATCCTGTTAGCCGAACTCTTACTATTATTAGCTTTATCAATTATAAAAATGACCCTTAATGTGGGGATGCAGCAAATAATGGAGGGCAGAATTGCAACTTGCACTTCAGAGAATGTAAAGAAAAATACATTGTAGAAATGTAAGAAAAATTTCAGAAACATTTGGTAACGAAAAAAACCAGGAGAACTTAAAAATAAAACAAAACAGAAGAGATACAGTAATAGGAAACAATAAGAAAGGGAAAAAAAAAAAAGGTCACGGTTTACACAGTTTCTCTTTCAGCTCATGCTTCCTCCCCAACTGGGAAGGAGGGTTGGGTGAAGGAAAGGAGATTTGTGAGTTGAAATAGAAATATATTCAATAAAATAATAATAAAACCTAATATTAATAGCAATACAATATAAAGTACACAGAGTTATACTCAGCAAATATTGTGGGGGAGTAGGCCTCAGGGTCAGGACAGTAAACAAGTCCCTCTTGAGATGTCAGCCACAGAAGAAGGAAGACAGGAAGAGGGCCATTCCCAGCAAACTCCTCAATTTATCGTGAATGTGACATTTGTGATATTGAATAATTATTAATTGGTCAGCCTGGGTCATCTGCCCTGGCTCTTGCTCCCCTTAACTTCTGCATCTGGTTAGCTCAAGACTGCTGATGACCATGATCACTATGGCCACCTGCATACCAGGACCAGCCAAAGTGTTCCCATTATACAGAGAGCTGTAGTCCTTACAAAATCGCAGTTCTCCTCAACTGAAAAATGACTCTAAAATTCTGTCCCACCAAACCAGGACAAGGTAGAAAATCAATAATCTGTATTTCAGCCATACTGAACTTCAAAGAATTCAAGAATGACAAATTTACAGGGCCTTTTTCTGCACAGAGGAAGAATAATCAGAGTTTAGTATAAGGGACAGGTAGCTGGACATAATGCGAAGTACAAGGACACTCTACTACTGACTGCCCTTCACTCCACATAATAATACTCTTCTCTGCAAGCAGTGTTTCCAGCATTCAACTCACCTCTGTCCATCATAATCATATCCCTTCCTGTTCCTCTCTGTTGGCATTAGCATGGGCACACACAGCAATCTCAGCATCTTAACACGACTGACTAGAAAGTAAGTGGTTGGACTAGAAGCAGACTGGAAGAGGGAGATGTTGATTCAGAGTCTTAGATAAAAGAGGAGGAGTCAGAATCACTGATGTTGCCTTATGTTATCAGGTTTGGTTTTTGCAATTATCAGAAAAACCCAAAGCAACAGAAGGGGTGGGGAGTGGTGCGAATAGAAAGAAAGGTGATGTAGTTAGCAAATTTTAGTACAAAAAGGTCAATTAGGAAAGCAGCACCTTCTAAATATGGAAAAGATCAATACTGGTGAATTGCCCAAACTTGGATGCAATGGACAGTTGAGACGGTAAGAACTTTATACATACTAGCATCAAGAGACAGACCCAACATAGTGTGATAAAACCTAATCTTCTCAGGCAAGAATCCACATATGGTATACACCTGAAAGACTTCTAGAACATGTGTTTCAGCATTGAGCAGTAGGTTACTGTTCCTGGAACAGAAGCCTACGTCATATGAAGACCTGCAGTTAATACAGTCCAGGTGCTGCATTTGTCTCCTACATGAACAGTTTTGCCTGCAATGTTATTATAACTGGATATGTGATTGAACGCTGTGGACTGAAAAAACATAGTGTATACAATTCTGACACCAAATAGATGCTCAAGAAAAGTCATTACTCCCTTTCATTTAAAATCGTTAAGCAAAAGAAGGAAATCTGTTCAAATTCTTTAGTAAAGAAAGAAATTTAGTGCAAAATTTCTTTCTCAAAATCAGTACAGAACAGTATCAGCATAAAATTTAAAATGTAAGACATTCTGGAACACTGTGATACCTGAAGTTATTAAAAGTCACGCTTGATGCAACTTTTGTAAATATTAGGGACAAGCTTTACAGAAAACTCAAATACGAAAAGAATATACCATAAACACTTATACTTTTTTTCATGAAAACTTGAGAATTTATCATTCTGAATGTTTTGCCTTTACATTAAAATTTTAAAACACTTTCTATTCATGCTTATGCTTATATTGAAGTTAAACTGCATCTTAAGGAAGAACTAGTCTACTTCCCAGAGAAAAGGATTGTACAGAAGGGCCAACAGAACCTACTACAAGACAAAAAGTATCATAGAATCACAGAATCATGGAATGGTTTGGGCTGGAAGGTACCTTAAAGATCATCCAGTCCAACCCCTGCCATGGGCAGGGACACCTCCACCAGATCAGATTGCCCAAATCCCTGTCCAGCCTGGCCTTGAACACTTCCAGGGAGGGGGCATCCACAGCTTCCCTGGGCAACCTGTGCCAGAGTCTCACCACCCTCACAGTAAAGAATTTCTTCCTAATATCTAATATCTTTCTAATAGTTCTTATACCTAACATCTATCATCTTTACTTTTCATACTGTAGGCAGACATATATTACTTAAAAAGCACTGCATTTAATCACAGGCGTCTGAGAGCTGGGGAGCCAAGCTGTTTCCACTATAACATATCAAGCCACTGCATAGTCCTTCATCAACAGGGCCAGCATAATCTTTGCTAACAGCTCTCTCAACCCAAATGAAAGCAAATCTCGCTGCAGCAAGTTTGGAACACTTTCCAATCCTTAGCACACAAGTGTTTATCTTGATTTGAACAACAAAAACAATCCTAACAGGCAAAGGGGCAACCCAATTACATGGCACAGGCTCAGCAAGACACATGTAAACCTAGCAGAAAACATAAAGAAAACCTGTTGGGAGGAGAAAAGAAGCAATTTCACTGAATTTCATTTAGTTTCTTAAAAAGGTTGTGCAGTCACAAATAAAACAAAGCTTTCACTCAGCAATTATCATCTCAAGATCTTAAAACTGAAATTCAGCAGTGGTTAATATATTTTTCTATTTGCGCTAATTTGCCATTATGCTAATCCAATTTAGGAGCAGGATAAGAAATTAATGTACTTCTGTTGGAAACAACCAAAGCCACAGACACAGCCTTTGAATATACATTTGCTTATGTGTTTATGTCACTTGAATTAGTGACAGCTCTCTTACAGATCTTCTGTTTCAAGAAGAAAGACAAACAACCCTTGTTTTCTTTATGGTCCTTTGCTTCACAAGAATGAAAGAAGAGAAAGGAGGAAAGAGAGGATAATGGAAAAAACCAACCCTTCCAAAGCTTCTTTGTCCTATGTGGTAAAGTAAAAAAGGTGGAGAAGACATACATCAAGCTTATGCAAGTTGCACAGCTTACACCATTTCATTCTAGATATACTTGGCTACATATTTATGACAGTTTATGTGTCTAGCCTCCTGCCTATGTGACACAAATACATCTGCATTCAGTAATCTCCCTAGATAGAGATCTCAGATCTGCAGAACTACCTTATTATCCTTAAACAAGTCCAAGTATCTTTGTGGGCAAAAACATTTTAGGCAAGAAATTTTTTCTGAAATTGGATTTTAACCTGGTCACTTCAGTGAGAAGTATTATTCATAATCACAATTATCTAAAAAAAAAAATCATGTCTCCTAATAAACATTTTGTTTACATGCACAGTTAATAACATTCCGTTTTATATGGTCAAATAATTCAGGTCAAAAATTCAAACATTTACCACACTGCCAAAACCAAGGAAATCACAAGGTATACTTTTCCTGGAACAGCAGCAATGAACAGGTCCTTGTAGAAGATAGAGTAGTAAAAAAACCTCAGAAGGTTTCTGTTGACACTAGTTTAATTGCTCTGTTATGTTTATAATGACATACTATTACATTTCCTTACAGAAACTATGCAGCATGTGGAGGGAAGATGCTGTCTAGGAAACCTCATCCAAATGACAAAAAATACTCAAAAAGCAGACTTACCAATTGTAAGCTCTCACTTTCACGAACACAAGCTGTTTGGAGCTTGGACTTCAGGGCTGCAGTGTGAAGCTGATGAGATGCTGTTTCTCTCACTAACATCAATTCTGGAACTTGCAAGCTGGTAGACATCCATAAAACTTTTAATCACGGCCTTTTAAAAGTAAAATAAATCATCAGTGCCAGGCAGGCTATATTTAAATGCCAAATAGCATACATCCAAATATATTACAAAAGACCTAACTTTTATTTATCAGAGAAATCAAACAAAGGTTGGAAGCCAGGCAAAGTTTCAGTCTCAGGATTTAAACATTAAAAAGGTCTAACATGGGATTTTTTATTCCTTCTAAAATCTTAAATATTAATAGTACTAAAGAAAGCAAATGACACTCTAATTAGAAGGTGGTTTGATGACCTGTTTTCAAACATGCAGTACTGCACTGAGCAGCTAATACCATTTTTTGTTGTATTTAAATACAAGAGCCAGTGCAAGTTCAATTTCTGTTTACAAAGAATAACTACACCATTTCAGGTAAATGTTCATACTTTCAAAATGAGTCAAGTTAATAAACCTCCCACCCCATGTTAAAAAAAAAGTAATTTGCAAAAACAAAAGAAAGACAGTGAACCTACAGACCTCTGAAAGTAAATAATCTGATTACAATATAGCTGGGAAAATATAATTGTTTTCATGTATATAGTGGAATGTCCCAACCATGTAATATTGATCAGACTGATAATAAACTTAGCAGCACAAGAGAGTACAAATCATTTGGCAGTACTGGTAACTTTATACAATAGTGTACCACTGTTGAGATTATTGGTCTTCTTTACAACTAGTTAATCACATTTTTTAAGTTATAGTTTTCCCTTCTGAAATGACTTGTGAGTTTCTACTGTAAGAACGTAATACAGATAATATGAAATTGGCCTTTTGAATGTAAGTCCGTGGTATAGGCAAAACTTAGTACCATAAACAGGCATTCACAAAGATTTTTAATGTTTTTGTTTCTTAGCTCTCAAACACACTACTGCTTTTCAGAATAAAAGTTAACATAGCTGAAATCAATCAAGCTATTTCATTGTCAAATGCAGAAAACCGCAGCGGCAAACTGACACCATCATATCTTTTCTTACCAGAAAGAATATCCAAAATGTTTTACATACTGCGGTGCTAGTCTTAAAAGTGTATTCACATAGCTCTGTAAGTCTGCCACTGTCAGCTCTGATCCTGCTTTTAATATTTCTCATCTACATTCAATGTGACTAAAATGCTGCATCTCTTTACAATACCAAGCAAGAATATGGATATATCTCAAACCCCATATAAAACTGCCTGAGAGTCTTCATATGGCAGCTGCCTACATGTTAAAAAATTAGACAAATGTTGGAATACGTCTATGGACTGGGCTTGTGACCCCTAAACAAGGATTACAGCAATGTGTCATAACCTGTGTCTCAAATCTCACAGAAAAGTATCTTTGATTACTTCCCACATGATAATTAAAGGTATCACTAAACTAGAATGCATAGAGATGATTCCTTACCTTCCTCCTTTTACCTCTGCTACCACAAAGCTAGTGAAGCCACTAAGCTACACAGCTTCATCCTACATCTCCAGAGCTACTCTAAGTCCATCTGAAACAGCCACTACCAATTCCTTGCTGCCTGACTCAGCTATTTTATTTGTTCCCTTGTTTAATGGGTTTGAAAATTTTCAATCTAGGAAAAATACATCCATTCACAAGCTTTTCTTTTCAGACATGGTAAATATTTTTTCTAAGACATTTAGATCATTTTTCAGTCCAGAAGGAAGCAACATCTCAGCTATTAACAATTCATTACTGATAGGGAAGGTAGCATTTATGCACCTGTAGGTACACACTCCTGCTCTATCCCAACTGCCTAGCAAAGATTCAGGGTCAGTTTAGATTTCACTCACTCAGGACCAGTTAAGGGAAAACAGTATTTTGAGTTCGTTCAGTGGGTGATGTGAAATCCTTGATAATAAGTGCTTTATTCTAAATAAGAAGGCAAATACTTTGTGTTTTCAGATGTGCCACTGGAAGGCATTCATTTACATATGACCTTATGTAACTCATGTCAGTCACAAATTGAGTCACAGATCTGTTTTCCATAATACAAAAGATCCACTTACTACAAAGCTTGATACACAGGGAATTGGCATAGAACCTGGTAATTTGTGTGTTACAAGATCTGTCACATAAGGAGTTCAGAACTTTAATTTAGATTCCTATTTGCACATTATCGATACAAATACATCTGCAGCTCTGGAAACTGTTCCATGATCAACAAAGTCTGTTGACAGAATTTCAGAGGCGGCACATCTGGTTCTGCAGAATTCTTTTCCTCTCCTGCTAACAAGGAGTGTTTTCTTCTGTTTTTAAGTACACAAAGCAAAAAGATGTATACATAGTTTTTAAGAATATGCAGCAATAAGATACTTCAGCAACCCTCCTGATTTTTATAGCCTAGAACTTATTATTCATACATATCTTCAGGATCTGCATTTAAGTAAGCACTTCTGATTTTGAATGTGTTGACAACACTGTGACATGCAAACTGGGAACAGAACACGAAACAGTAAAGTTTGTCTTCTGTTACAAATACGCACCAAAAAATTACATCTGTTCAGAAAGGCCAGGTGTAGTGATCCCTGAACATTATAGGAGCCATTATTATTGCAGCTCAGACCACTTCAGAACTTAAAACCTTTTCAGACAGACGGGTATTAAAGGAAAGTTTGCAGGGGGAAGAATTAATGAAGGCGGCCACAGCAATAGTGGGACTGAATAAAACTACTTTTAAACATTACTGGCTCTAGGTGTTCCTGCTTGAGCAGGCGGCTTGGACCAGATGACCTTCAGAGGTCCCTTCCCACCTCAACTAGTCTGTAATTTGGTGATGACAAAGTCTTCCTAAGGATGGAACATGATTCAAGTTAATAATGGCTGAAATTTACATAGGACTGTCAATTTTAAGAGCAGAAATTGTAATGAATTACTCTGCGTTAATCAAAGAAAAAGAGGAACTAATCAGATAGCTGAATGGCTTTTTTTCAGTGACCTCTTCTCTTTCCTTTCACTCCACACAATGCCTTACTCTATAAAGGGTCTGACTATTATTTAAAGTTCTACATAATGTGCTACTGATATTGCAGAAGTTAATTATAATGGTAGGAGTGTTTTCAGTGTTAAAAGTGTCTTCAGCATGAGAGGAGACCCATGCTCCAACACCAAGTCAAGACACCTGCAGCTTCATGAAAACAGATGCGTGATGTTCCTGGATAACTGGCTGCAGCTCACGGATAAAAATATATTATTAATACTAAGAAGGTTGGCATGGAGAAAGGACGCTTTCATGCTGAACATGCTGGACAGGGCATAAAATCTGCAAGAGTGCTCAAGACCCATTTTCAAATATATCTTTCAATGGACAAGTTATCTTAAGCCTAAGTACTTCAAAGGATCTTTTTAATGGGTATTTATACATTTAAAATAGTATCTCCATCTAGAAGATCCCTAAGAGCACTTTAACTACCTTTGAGTACAAAGCAAATCAGAAAATTCTGAAAAATTCAGGTGTTATTCACATGATAAAGGAACGAATATTTTATATTTCAGATATTTATTTGGAAAATGGGACTATGAACATTCTGAGCATTGCACACTTGGCTGTTTTGCCTGCCTTCCCAGCTTTTAAAAATGAGGCCAGAAGACAGGAGCATTGCAAAAGCATGTATGTGCATAGCCATCTACCAATGCTCCAATATCCTGAAAATACATAGATAAGCACATGAATAGATAAAAGATAACATATATAAAATCTAACAAAAATTAAACTTGTTTTGTTTTAAGTGTAATTAACAGATGAGGTTTATTTCAGAGCAGCCCTAAGGAAGAAGGTCTTTATGACATGTTCAAAGATGTCTCATTTGTAATATGAGGGTATATGTAAAAAGTTCTGGCTTAAGCTACAGGTTGGTGAAGCTGAGAAACTTAAGTTGAGGGCAGAAATGAGACAAACTAATTTGATGCTGTTTAAAAACTACAAATGAGTGAACTGCCAGGTTGGGTAGGGCTTTGAGGAATCTGGACTAGTGGGAGGTGTTCCTGCCCATGGCAGGGGGGTTGGAACTGATCTTTAAGGTCTCTTCCAACTCAAACCATTCTATGATTCTACAAAATAACAAAATTTAAGCCATGCTCCTTTCTCCAGATTAATCTTTAAAAGGACTGAGAATAGTTAATATTAGACAGTCCTCCAGAGGACATGTAAAAACAACTTTTACTAATATTCCCTCCATCAACTTTTGAATAACCAATCATTTCCTTGTTCTGTACACCATTTTTAGAACCAGTAATTTTAAGGTGCACAGTGCTATAGACACTTTAAAAGAGCTTTTGTATGTATTACTGGCTATAAATTTACAAGACTGGAAGACTCCAGTCTTCAGGAGTACGTTATTTACAGTAAAAAATGGCTAATACTGACAAATTACACAACAATCTTTAATGAATATGAAATATGAAAAGAAATTTTTCTTATTTTATGAAATTCAAAGGTTGCTCAAAGTTCAGCTGTTCTCAATTCAGTTGTAATAGAAACACATGACAAGAAATATACAGATCAGTGTATGCAAATCAGAAGACTCTCATCAAATTTTATATATATATTATTATACATTATAAAAATGGCATTTTTAATCCCAAATTAAAACACTGTACATGTTGTCCTTCTTGCCCTCAGTGTTTGGCTAATGACAACACAGTTCAAAACATTTTTTTATTTTTATTATGAATTATAAATAATTGCAAATGGAAGTTTACACCTAAAGTTTTAGACTATTCTGAAGTTACAAATAAAATATCAAGTGATTAAGAATCCATTTCTTTACTTTTATGTCCATGTTATACCATTAACTCAGGATCTTATTGGGCCTCCCGTTATCATAGAACTGTATCTCCTGTTTAGAAGGAACAAAACTAAAGGAAAGAGCACTTATGCCAAATTGCTCTTGTTAAAAGGTATCAAACAGACTAACAGCTTGACAATATAAGCATTGAGTTTGTAACATCAGATGCAACAACCAGAATAACAAGACCATCTACTTCACACAATGTGCTTAAAAAA